TCCCAGTTCAGTCACAGTGATTCTGAAGCACCTGGCTCCTTTGATTTTACATAAAATGCTGAACCAGGACCTGGTTTAGAAGGAAACTGCAGTTAAGTGAAAGTGAAATTCTACCATAACACCAAGTGCTTTATATAGTGTTTCTCAGTTGTATGAGAAGCACAACAACTGGGCTGGAAGAGTATGGACTTTGGAGCTAAAATCTGAAATTTTTACTTTTAAAAAGAGGGAAAAATAAGTTATCTTGTTCCTAATTTCCATATCCTCTGCTCTTACTCATATAATAAATATAGGTTGCTTTTATTGTGAGAAAAAAGGTTTTACATTGAACATGAATTTGCTTAACTTTGACTACTCTGAGCCTGTCCCAAGGTCTAAAATGCATTAAATTTCTTCTTACTTCACATGCAGAGGCATTTGACTTTGTTCTCAAGCCTCCCAAGGCTTTCAAGCAAATCAGGGGTCATAATTATACTGGGACTGTAACACAGGATGAGCTGTTGGGTTATTCTGCAGAAGCCAAGCCCCTCATTATTGAACTAAGACAGAGGAGATGGTGAGGCTGACAATGATGCATTATTCTGGGCTGCAGCCCATCCCTTTTCCTTCACTACAGTGGTGCAACTTCCATTGTGAGCTGTTAGAAGAGCTACCTCTCCCCTTGTTTTTCTAAAGCACAGCATAGGTTTGATACGATTGACATGGGCAAAGGGAGGTTTTCTAAATTAAAATCAACATTTTAAATTCTGTACTTATTTTTCAGTTGCTTAACTTTACTGTTTAGAACATAAAATTATGATTTGGGATGAATTGCAATTTCATTCTTCCCTCCATACATGAAGGAGTCATGAATCTCCAGACTGATGTGCTGTAGCTCCAGTGCCAGTGTTGCAGACAGGAAGCAGAGGAAGTGAAATCTGGAAAGAAGGCTAAATGGATGAGGCAAGACATACCTGACATGTCTGAAAACATTAACCTTATCAAAAATCAAGCCCATGGTATGTGTCCTCTGTCTCTCTGATCTAAAGACATGCAGGAGCATAGCCATTCCAGCAATATCCCATATTTGCGCTACTTCAGATGTGGAATTTATTTCATATATGCATTTACCTTAAAATTTGTCCACAGAAAAATAAAGGGGGAAAAAAAAATGTAGATAGGTATAGAAAATCTAGATACAGATGTACCATGCTCCAAAAGGTTCTATCTTAGATTCTTCACGAGTGAAGGAAAGAAATTTATTTCCAAATCTCAGTCTTGAAAATATCCAGCAAATAATGGCTCTTAATGGTTACTTAGGCTCAACCTCCCTCCATCCCCAAGGCCTGCAGACTCCAGATTTTAAGTCTTCAGATGCAGTGCAATGTGGGGCACACAGGCTGAAAGTAGGCAACAGAAGGAAAATATAACAGGGTTGTTATCAGCCAAAATGCTTTTTCTAATTTCTGTTTCATCTGTGTCCATCCCACATGGACATGCCGCATGTAAAATGAAAGTTAAGTTTTCTATTTCTGTTTTCTTGTAAATACCACAAGATGACAGTTGTACCCCACCTGCCCTGAAAAAGAAATAAAGAGCACAGTTAATTATTCAGCCAGGTGCACCCCTTGCAAAATGCCTGTGGCAACTGTGCTAAGCAAACCAGAGGAAATATTTATCAGAAGACCCACCACTTCATCATCCTTTTAAAAAGCAACAAGGAACTGGTAGCAGCAGTTTCCTTGACTTCAGGTTTCTTTGACTCCTTCATCAGTGTGAACAAGAGGGACAATGTTTTGTCCTGCCATTGGTATGTGAATGGTGTGGATGCTGGAGCCTTTGAAGGTGGAATAGAGGAAGAGGGAGCCCTGCCATTCCCTGGTGCTTATTTCCACCTTCTCTTGCACTGACACTGCCCTTCACACAGTGAATCTTCTTAGGTAACAAGCCTCTTCAAAAGGCAACTTTTTTGTCCTGTAAATTTTCAGCAGAATTTATCTAGGTTGCAGTACAGCTGTGTGAATACTAATGCCAAGAGGAAGGAAGAAGAGAATGATGGTGGATGATGTGCTTCTGTTTGGAAGGAGCACCAGTTTAAGCTATATCGAACTAATTGTGGAACAACTTGCTATTACCTAACCACTAGCAGAAGTTCCAGAACTTGCCATTGGTTTGAGTACTTGGTTCCTAACTGTAAAAAGCCACTCTGCTGCAGGATGAAGCTATTACTGCCATTCAGAAACTAGCTAGTCAGACTGCTACCAATTCATGAGCTACTAGCTTTACAAGTCAACTACTGTATTAGGTTAGTGATATCATTATGTAAATTATTTACCTGCAAGTTTTCACAATCAGGGATTTGCCCAAAATCTCAGTTGTTCCAAGAACAAAACAGCACCACATGACCTACGTTGGTCAAGAGTAGATACAGATACTGTGCACACACATGTTCATGACTCAGAGGTGATCCCATGAAACAAGTGCCTCCTAAATTATATTATGTTCCATATTTGAGGAGATTTGAAGTTTTACATCAAAATTTGTCCAATAAAAGAGCTAGGAGTCACCTGTTAGATTTTTCTTCCCCAGAGGTTTAAGGGGCTCTTAAAGTACATGGAATATTTCATCCCTAACTTAAAGACTGGGGTAACCAGCGTCTAAAGTTAATATATAATCAGGCACCTAATTCAAGAGCTACTTCCTGTAGTAGCTAGTCTGTGGTAACGACATGTCATTTCTGTAGATTGTGTAAATTGCTGGCTCTGTTTTTATACTTCAATAAAATCTGTTTGCATAGTTCGCACTTCTCCTTTCATTACAATTAGGCAGGCGGAAGTTCAAACAACAAAACTTTATTGTTCATGCTGTAAGTTAAATAACCACTGTAAAGTATAAACTGTTTTTAAAATAATATAGTAATGTGCAACCACTGCTAAGTTGTACTTAAACTGCAGTGTACTTTAACAAGTGACTGATGTGCCAAGGAAGAACACAAGTATCAGCTGCTTGCAATTCTCCCATCTCCTCTCCACACACCCTTATTTCTGGTTTAAGTGGTGCATCAGAGAATATGAGGAAGAATGCTTAGGATGGCTAAATTCTGGGATCAAACACTGTAAATGTATATACATCCAAACTGTAACTTGTATCTTATATTCAAACAAAAGATTGCATTTTCATATTAACAATCTACTTCTTCCACCTCTACAAAAATGCTGAAAAGTCATTTTTTAAAGATCAAGATACGTATGAAGTACCGTAAAATAGCAAACCCTTACTAAAAATTAATTGGCAACTCTGCTGCAGAATATGAAATCAACTAGTGAGTTTCTTTGCAAGTATCTTTACTTACGTTCTTTGAGTAGTGAATTGGCAACAGCTTTGTCCAATTAATTTTGACATGAGTGAAGCATGATAAAGAGAACTATTTATCAGTACTTGAGTCCTGACTACTTTCATCATCCATAAGATATTACACAGAATACTAGGATTCTGGTTTTGAGAGATGATCCAACATTGTCTGGGGAGCACTGCTCAACTCCTGGACTCCAGTTGCAACAGACTTACATGCAGACACAAACCCCTTTTAGGTATTTGAGTCCAGGTCGTGGAAGAAGCTACCAGAGCTGTGACTCAAAGAGCTCCTGTTCTCTTGACTGATACGTGAGGGGTAGCAGCACAAAGAACACCCAGCCAGCGAGGCTGGTACAGTGCTGCATTTGATAGTTTACACTCAACATGTGCCACCCTAGATAGCTGGCCTGCAGTGGCATCTCCTCCTGTCACACCCAGGCTCATGCACCTGCTTATTTACTACTTCCTTTCCAAATGTTAAACTTCCCATAACTTCATTTGCATTTACAAAGCTGTGGGTTTTCATATTTATTGCTACTCCCGATTAAAGATCAGCAAGCTTTACTACGGCAATAACAAATTAACCTGAAATATGTTTGGTGATTGGTGGTTTTGCATTTGCTAATTTTAAAATTTGTTCCTAATATCAAGTTAGCAGTACTCTGTTGTGGCACTGGACAAAGAGGAAACTTCAGAGAAACTCCTTCATCAGGCAGGACAACCCATTTTCAAGACACCTGGAGAGCTGTGGTCTTGAAGTATGCACGACAGCTTTTTAGAAGGCCAGTGACTGCACAGCATATTGTTTATGGTGGAGTTTTGTCATCAACCAAGGCAGGGGAAGATCTGCTGGACTACCTAAAAGGCCATCTAAAATGCTGCCAATTTTTTCCCTTTAGAAATTTGCAAACATCACATCCCCTTGCTTCCCATGGAAAGATGCTGAAGAATACTGAAGCTGCTTCAATAATTTGTTTGAAAACTGTCTTGTTTCTCTCCAGCTGGCACTGAACAATTTGCAGGCACACAGAAGAGGTCAGCTTCACTGACTCCTATACCTAGGAACTGTAACTTGCCATTGAAACCAGCAAGAACAAACAAAACCCAAGTTTTCCTTTCTGCATCTTCCCTGGGACCAGAAGAGCACCAAAATGCAGGCTTTTTGTGACCCTTCACTGTAACAAATGTTCAGTATAACATACAAACACCTAGTGGAATATTTAATGAAGAATTTTGTAATAGAACAATATTATTAACTTCAAGCCATAAAACTCTCAATTCTACACTAACAGTGCTTATGAAGATCATATAAAAGGAAATGGAAAGCCTTCCCTTTCCCTCAACCGTGGGGTTTTGGAGTTTTTTGTAGGTCTCCCTCCCCCCCACCTCTCAAATAAGAGGCACATGAACATGGAGTAGCCCTGTATGTTCTAATTATATTGCTACATGTCCCAAACATTTTGTGAGGATATGATGGGGACAGGGTAAAGACAAATAAAACAAACAGCTGTGTAAAGCTCTTCTATCATTTTCACACCTAACTTGAAGACAGTAGTACCACAATGAGGACAAAAAAGCTCTTAACATTACGCTCACCAGCCATTCATCAAGCAGTCCTTCCTTAAAAATTAAGCAAATTTAAAAAAAAAAAAGTGGGCAGTACTTACTAGGCTAAGCCTTTGTTAGCAATGAAGCCACCAGAAGTCCTTGAGCAGAGATTAGCAAAGTAAGTAATCCTTTGGGAATTCTCCCAGGACATCCATCTAGTTGACGAAACTGTTCCAGTGTTAGGCTGTGATCCTGTAACAACAGTTAGGACTGAATGAGTTGATCACAGCTCTGCCTAGCAAAAGGATACAAGTTCAGACACTACCTAAGGCTCCGTTAATGTACCTAACACAACACGACTGCTTCAGCTGCTTAGAGCCCTAAACCTCAGCATATGACTTTCTGTATTTGAGCCCAGTGTATGGATATTTTGCAATCACATTGCATGTAGTGGCTATAAATGCAAATAGGGGCAAATAGCTACTAGGATATGTTTTCAGGGTTGAATTTCGATAGGACCTCAGGTTCCAAAGTACCTCGTAAGCAGAAACAACTGAAGATATGCTGGTTTTTTCTGAATTTAAAACCAGCATGCTGGGGATGAAGTTTTCCAGGCCAGGTGTCTGCCTCAAGCTGATGTTTTCAAAAGAAATTTTCAACAAGAACGTAAGTATGAAACTGGGGGAGAAAAAACCTCCCATTTTTACTCAAGTACCTCTTAATGTACTTGAAAAGGCCTTTACTTTGAAGAGAGAATCTGAAATTTAGTGGGAAAGCAGACTTTGAATCAGGGATATGCCTTCTGGGCAGTCTTCCTATTGAACATCATGATAAAGCAGTAAGCTTTTGAATCTCCAGCTGCACACGCACAGCAAAAAATAATTTTAAAAAAAATATTGAGAGCTAGAAGCTGGGTTTTCTGAAAATTCTGTGGCATCAGCAATGCTGCAGGTTAGTCCTAGCAGAGTTACTCCTACCTAAGGCAGCAGTGAGGACTGCAGCTCAGGCTGGGGCTCTGCTGTGCTGCGTGCTCCCTCTTCTGGCACCCAGGCCAGCACAAAGGGACAGCAGCAGGCCTCGGGGGGAGGGGAGGATCGGTGATGTTGGAGGCTACAGCAAATGCATCCTGTTGGGTATACTCTGTTTTAATTTGTGTCTTTGCCAGGGATTTACACAGACCATCGAGATTCTTACATGGAACTGGTGTCTTCTAACGAAGTGCTTCTTATTTTCTGAGTTCCAAATTCGAGCCTCTGGAAACTAAATGCAGAAATACCAGAGCAGTATCTACGGTAAGTACACAGCCTTCTTGCCTGCAGCTTCTGAGCACTGTAAACAGTTCGAAGTCTAGAGCACCACAATGATCTTGCACTAGGAAAGCCCTAATAATGCAGGCAGGACCACATCATGTACACAGGAATTCATAAAAAAAGCCTATGGCTGAATTTAATGTGGCTCTGAAGTTATGACTAGCACTCCTATTGCTGAACTATCTCTACTCTCAAACAACCTGTAAATTATATCCATTGAAACTGGGCTTTGATTAAGTGAAGAACACCCCAAATTAGCAGCCATTCTTGTACCAAATTCTTCTGTGCCTTAGCTTTCTCAGTATTACAGTAATGATAATGCTACTACCTCAGAATTTTGTCAACTCCTTAGTATGACAGTCTAATAGTTCAGATAGTCTAACGATTACTCTTGAAAAGACTGTAAGAAAATGCAAAAAAAAGTCAAAATAATCTGTAGTCAGATAAACATTTAAACATCATGCAGATACAGAGGCATAACCTCTTTTTAATTCAGTAAGCAGTACCCATCTCAAACTGAAGATGTATTAAAAAAAGGGATCATATAATTAAGGACTATCATAATACACATGCATGATGTAACACAGATGGAAAACTGTTAAGTAGTAAGCAGTGATTTTTTAATATATTTATATGTTAATGTTTGTATGTAATTATACATAATGTTAATGTTCAGTTGCAGACAGAAACTATTAGACTTTAAAGTCAAAAATTCTTTAGCAGATTAAAAAAAAAAAAGTAATTGAAATGTCTATATATTTTCTTCTATAAATAAGTACATTGATCCTGATAGGAACTTGGCTGCAGCTAGTTACCCAGACTTTAAAAAAAGATCATTGAAAAACATCTTTGAAAGCTTAATTAGCATATTTTGGCAAAAGGAGACGATTCCTTAGCACAATACTTAAACAACATTGGGAAACTTCCACTATCAAATATGTACTGTAATTTCTATATAGTACTGCAAACATGACACAAACACCTGGATTAAGGACACACAACTACATTTTCATAAGTGCTAAGCACAACTAATTCCAAAGGAACACCACGGGCACTCTGTAATAGCCTGGCAACCTCTCGAAGGAAAAACTATGACATTATTTCATTTTCCTAAAGCAAAGTGAAGAATGTGCCCAGATTTATTAAAATAGAGGTAACAGATCAAACACAATATTCTAAGGGTTTCATTCAGAGTCAGGCTTACTTTACTTTTATTGTCTTATAAATCTAGCTAAACTTGTAGCACTAAAAAAAATAATCTATTTTGACTCTGTAAACTAACACTAGAGTAACTTGACAAAGGATGAAATAAGACAGGAAGAAGTTTTATTCTGAGAGATCATACTGTAAGCTCAGGGCACTACTATTTATGCTGGGAAACTCACTATAAGAAGTCCCCAGTGCAGCATGTAACTTGTCACTAATAGTTTGTGTTCAAAAAAATGAAATAAAATATTTAAAATTATAAAGAAAGACTTAAGAGTACAAATAAGTCTGAATAGCTGCAGCACTAAATATTCATGAATCAACAAAGATGGAAACAAACTGTACAGTAACTTCATCTAAGGAGATATAAAGTAGAAGTCTCCCTTGATACTGCTGAGAGCCCCCAAGAGAGGGGGCTGCCCCACTCAGAATTACCAGGTTTTTCTTACTCCCTTACTTCAGCCCACATTTCCTTTCACCTCCCTTTTTCCTTCTTCAGCAGCACTGCAAAGATTCTTCCAGCTTCTGTACTGATCTCCAACACATGCAAGGGAGTCTTATAGAAGGAAGAGACCTTCTTCCGGCCTGTAGTTTCCCCACTCTGCACACAAGCTAGGTAAGGACAAGGCTAAGCAGAGGAGTCTGCATAATACATTTTAACACTGCTACTCCAAATATCCACAGACTGTACTTTTGTGTCTTGGTAAGGGGTTAGGGTCTACGCTCACTCTTCTCCAAACAGTATTAGGTACATCCCAGCTCAGAATCAGACACTGCCCCAGCTCTGTGCATCAGCTGCTCTTAAACATAGTGGTAGCACTGGAAGCTCCAAGATCAAGAATTGATGGATAGTGTAGGAGCATATATACACTCTTATTTCTTCTACTTTTTCCTAAGAAATGGCTGTTTGCAACAAGATTCTGGGTAAGACAGATCTTATGTTAAGGTTCAAAATTCAGAAATAGTAGTATAAAAATGCTTATTAGGCTGAGCTACTATCTGGAGATTAACAGAGTCATAGATTCCCCTAAGAGCTTCAAACGCTATCCTGTTACTGCAAGCAACAGGAACTGATACTCGACTATATTTGATAGCCCTTTATATGGAAGCAACCTCAAAAACTGTTTCTCACTAGCATTTTGCAGTTATGTTAGATGCGACTTTAGTCAAACAGTTTAACTCCTAAGTTTTATATACAATTTTCAAGTTAGGTGTCCCATCAACATTTGACCAATGCAGTACATTTGAGATTTTTTTTTTTCCTTTTCAGTCTGAAAATAAGAGATACTTCCTTTTATCTGGGCAACACAACAGCATTCAATGCAATTCTGCTCATCTGTCAGCAGTCTGCAAGACCAAATTTATATTAAGTAGATCACCAGTAGACGGAGAATCGTAATTAAACAACAAATTTTCTCTCTCAAAAGTGCATCTGTGGATATTCATGTGGTTTCACTGCTTTTAAGGACTTGATTTGCTTGGGCAATTTCAATGGATTAGTTAGTTTAAATGTTATTTAATCAGTATTTCTTTCATTCAGTAAAGTTTTCAGAAGAGTTTCTGTAGCATGTATTATATTGAAATCCATAAGTTGTCACATGTATTGTCTGTCCACACATTCACAGTTGCACAAACTACTTCCTTTTTCATTTATGCCTATATAAAAGTTAACTAAGGCAACCGCTTACTCAGAGAAATTTCTATATATTTTTAGCTACCGTTTACTGCCATTTGAATTGGTAAAAATATGAGAGTGCTACGTGACAAGCAAATACTGCTGGCAGATCTGCAATAATGAGAACTCTCCTACTAGTAGCATTTTGCCACTTAGACTTCTAACAAACATTTTGAAGTTATGGGTTGGGTTTTGCTCTAAGTGAACTAGACCTTCCCTATGCATGTGTGATACCATCATTCTTACTCTACAAAAACCCTTAAAGTTTGAGCCACTTAACCTGATCATATCCGTATTTCTGAGCATGACTCCTTTTTAACATTCAGCAGAACTCTCTCAGTTTTGCATCTCAATCAAACTTTCACACATCCAACCAGAAACATGAATCACACTAGTGCTATTTCAGGGAACATGTACAGCTATAGTGGCAGGGGAAGCGTGCCATCCACCAGATCACACAGAGGTAATCACAAAGTAATGCCTGAAACAGGTAATTTACTAAGTGCAAATACATTTTTTTATTTTTAAAAAACTTGCACCAGTTAGCTATCAGGACATTCATGACTTCAGTGCTGCAGTCCAATGCTTGTTAGAACCTCAAAACATTTTCTGCCATTAAGGCCCTAATCTGCATGCAATTAAATCTGCATTGATACTTAAATGCAGCAAATATTTTTTGCCTGTAAGAAATGGATATGAATTTGATAATCTTTCTAAACTTACTGTTGAAGTATTGCCAACCCCAAGTGTTCAGAACACATAAGGCAGGACCTACAAAAGAATTATGATTTCAAAAGCACTGCAGTTTTGAAATCAAGTGGGAGTGCATTTACGTATTTATTTTTACTTCTCCTTCGGTTGCATTTAGGGTTTTCCTCCTTCATGTTTCATACTTCATTGCACAACTGAAAAACGCTCAGCTTTGATGTGTTTTTAATTTAGAGTTTAGATGATCATAAAATTCATTGATTCCAAGAGGTGGACCTTTGTGAAGAATAGTATTAGAAAATTACAATAGAAATTAGAAGTATTAGAAAATTACAATAATTACAGATAACATAATTAAACACTTAACAATTTACTTGAGTATTTAAAACAGTGTTTGTGTAGCCCGTTTTTCCTTCTGCTTTATTTCCTAAGTAGTAATACCATAAAAATAAAGTTGAAATGAGGAAGGTGCACAACATGTTAGGAGATTTAGAGGGAACTGTCTTAAGTCATTTAAATAAACAACTTAAGAAGTTGGTTCTTCTCAATATAAAAGCCTTTTTTTTTTTTTTTTTTAAGATTATCTAACCCAAGCCTACACTGGGGTGGTTAAGTTTCACTAACTGTAGTGGAAATTCTCTACAAGTGTGCAGAGGTAGCCTGTAATACTGTACATCTGCTTCCCCACCTCTGCTGTACTGTTTAGCATTTCATTTCATGTGCAAGACCTTTAATTTATGATTTAATACCGTACTACTGAAGACTAGCCATTTACAGTCTATACAAAGTAGCAGCATCTTTAAAATGTAGCTTTAGCACACTAAAATGTGATAAAGAATTTTAAAATATTATTCAGTAAGAAGGGGTAGGACTAATACCTTGCTGAGTAAATGCCCCTTGTTGAAGTGTACATTTGTCACAGCAAGCTATGCAAACAGTCAAGTCTTTAGCCTAATGTATGCAGTTAACTCTAAACACTTTTTAACATTTTTTATTAAAAATGGTAGAGATGAATGTCACTAAAATTTACCACTGGCTTTCTGACCCTTTCTCCTCTACCAGACGCTCATTCTGTAATTCTTGTGTTTATTTTCAGATTGCACCTATATTATATGCTACTGTCTGCGGTTTTAAGAGTGAATTTACTGTTTTCTCTAATCCATCTAATAGGCTGCATTTTCTAAAAAAACATATGTATACACAGGCACATATACACAAATAAAATACACTAAGTTCAGTTTCTAAGGATTTACAGTTTACTGTTTAATATAAGTAGCACAGAGCTAGTGATACTAGTTACTCTAATCAAAATGTAATGTTGCCACAATTCAAGAGCAGCACAAGCAGAAATGAAAATGGAAATGAGCAAGAATATTTCACCCAGCAGAAAGCAAATGCAGAGTTAGTGGCACACTGACAAGAGCAATTGTGGCCTGCTCTCTGTATAGCAACAGTTCAGCAAATAGGTACTAAGCACAAAATTAAAGATTCAAGAAAGAAGTTTGAAACTGCAACACAGGATACAGCTATTAGAACAGAAGATTCACTTAGCAGTTATACTTTAAAAAAAGCAACCGACACACCAAAAAAACACCCAACCACTACTGAACAGTGACAATTCAGTTACTGCGCTGTCTGCAAGAATGCTCATTCCACACATAACATTTACACACTAAAATTCATTGTAATGATAACTTTTATAAGCAGTTTATAGTAGGACAAGTTTTATTTTACAGTTTAAATAAATTCAAATGGCATTGACAGGTACTATACAGAGATCAATAAAAGGATTCTTTTTTTCTAAACAGCAAGATTTTTTCCCCCTTTTCCCCTACATTTAATCTTTGACTCTTTAGTGTGCAACAAGAGATATTTTGTAATTCCCAAATATCAACATAATTTTGGTACATTTAAAAATTTTCACTTCCACCAGAAATAGATCATCGCCTTTATTTAATACCATTAAAATGCATGCACATTAACACAGATTAATCAGGAAAAAAGTCTTAATTCACAAGCCCTTTTTCTACCTCAAAAAAGAGGGGAGCCCCCGTCAATATAATCCCAACAAAACCGCTGGTGTAATACTAATTCTCGCTTTACCACCTTATCATAGGGGATCTCCAACTGTTCCAGCTATAAGCTGAAGAACCAAGCTATAAGAACGAAGACATCGTTAATGTAAAACAGTAATTATTATCAAGCTGGCATCACAAGATCAGAGTCCAATACAGACATTTTGTACCTTGGTGCTGGGTAGTGTTACTTGAAGCATCAGCCTAATAGCCGGTTTATTCATAAGGCACGCACTAAAATGAAACAAACAGTAATTAAGTGCTGACAGTGACCTAGTTAGCTACACAAGGAGCTAGATCGTCCTGTCATTCATTACATTACAGGTTCGCCGGAATCCGACAGGAACTGTCGCGCAGCCCGGGCGGACGAGAGCGGGGAGCAGCGCCTCCGGCCCGGGCAGCCCCGGGCTCCCG